AACAATAGCCAAACAACAATTTCGCTCAGATAGTCTGCATCGCGAAGATGTCAGGCTCGAGTGGCCTAGACGGCAGCGAGGATGTGTTTTACACGGCCCCTCCTCCAGCACCTCACCATCGAAGCTCGTCAGGAGAGGAAGACACAAACACATCCGGCAGTGTACCATTGGAAGAACTCTTCCCAGAACACCCCCCTCATAACGACGGCCCAACCCCTGTGTTTGATCCACCGCTACCTCCAGGTAATTGGTTGGAGAGCGGTTCCGAGTCCGAGGATGGTGTCGGTGACGGGAGCCAAGACAACGCGGAGGTCCACGAAGAAGGTCACGAGGAAGAGCACGAGGAAGGAGATGCCGAAGAAAACAACGCTGAAGTAGGCGCCGAAGACGGTGCAGAGGACGATTCGCAAGCAAGCGAGGTGTCGACAACCGAACCAAGCGACGAGGACGAGGAGGGACAAGATCCGGGCGGGGTGGAGAGATTCGTGCCCAAAGACTGGTTTCCGACCATTCGAAAGGGATCACCTGTTGAAGACGAAGATGATGCTAGACATTGGAGAGGCGAAGGCGACCGTGATTTTCTCGCAGAAGAAGCCGCGCTCGAAGCCGAGCGCGAAGCTAGACGCCGTGAAGCAGAGGGAGACGAAAACTCGGGCCAAGGGAAGACGACAAACGAAGCCAATCGCCAAGATGGGACACATGATGGTGAAGGACAGGATGAAGCGGGCGAGGAGGACCAGCGTGATTCCTCGGAAGGCGAAAGTAGTTATGGGCCAGCCGAAGGGGTGAGGGACTATGGTGGGACCCAACCTGGCAACCTGGGCGGCCAGAATCAAAAGGGCAAGAAAAAGGACAAAGAAGCCATGTACCAACCCCTGGACCTCGACGACGATCACGAATTTCCGCCGGTGGGCTATGCCTGGGGCGGGGAGCCCACAGCCGTGAAAGGCGGCGACCAATTTCCCGGTTTTGAGGCTGAGGAGCCTCGCGAATCCGAAGCTGGCGCAAGCACCAGATCGGCTTGGTCCAGGAACTTTATACCACCCGAAGACGTCAGCGATGTCACCGAATCAACACAACGGGCGGATGGGCTCCCCAAGCGCAGCCATTACATCGTGGACTTCCCCATCGGCAGGGTCGGATCCTGGGAGGACGGGACCGATGGGTATGGATACATTCCTCCCCCAAGGGTTGCTGGGTATGAATGGAAGAGGAATCGAAAGTTCATCACGTTGATACCCTCGGATGGAATGCTCGAGGAGATTGAAGGAGCCGAGGAAGCCATGGAGAAGATCCGGCGAGTCGGTGCCGACTGGTTTTTGGAGCGGGTTCTCACCTACTACGACCATGCCATGCTGTTGCAACTGATGATTGGCGACTCGGCCCTGCTGGCGTACAAGCAGATACGTCACGACAGGAGGTTCATACGCGGTATGAACGATTTCTTCCAGAAGATGGAGCGTAGCATGGACAACACCACTACCGATCTTCGGCTGACGCTGGCCCGGGCCTTGCTGGATAATGCGAAACTCCGCGATCAGATCGAAATGATGAAGCAAGGCATCGATCTCGACGAAGACGAGTTCCTTCGTCCGGATTACGAAGAGGAGAAGGCTGACATCGAGATGAGAGTCAAGTCCAATTTTCCTCGTGAGGAGGAGGAGAGCGAGGATGAGAAGGAAAAGGGGGAGGCTGAAAAGGAGAAGGAAAAGAAGATCAAAAAGGAGAGGACAAAGGCGAGGAGAAGGAAGAGGAGGGAGAGGAAGGAGAGGAGGGAGAGGAGGGAGGGAGAGCGGGAGGAGAAGGAGGCGGAAAGTGTGAGGGAAGGGGATAGGGAAGACGACAGACATGGCCATCAAGGCAGCGACAGAACCAGCGAATACACCGACTATAACTATGAAGGCAGCGTACCTAGCGTCCGAAGCAGCGAGAGATATCTCGGTAGACGTAGCGACCAAGGCAGCGAGTTTAGCGATTGGACCGAGGAAGTCAGCAACAGAAGTGGTGACGAAGATGGCGACGACGATGGCGACGAAGACATCGACGAGGATAGCGAATCAGAATGCGAGCCAGAGAGCGAGGCGCTCACACCGTCCCCCTCTGGGAATGTCGACAGCGGATGGGAGGCTGAACAACGAGAGCGGCTTGAGTGGCATGTTGACACGCTCAATGACGAAGTCGAAAGATACAGGGCGGCAGAGGAGAAACTTTCAAGGCAAATCTGGATTCTCGAAGCGTCTATCGATCAGTTGACAACGGAGCTCAACATGGTGCGCACGGGCAACCCAGAGGGAAAAGCTCCAGCGGCCGGGCAAACACCCGGGCAAACGGAGGCTGAGCTCAAGATGCGGGCGGTTGCGGCCGAGACGCTGTTGGAGTACGCAAACATCGAGAAGAGGAAGTTGAAGAAAGAGTTGGAAGATGAAGAGGCGCATGCCAGGCTGCTGGAGGAGATTGCCGCGAAGTACGAAAAGGAAATCCGAGACAAGACCAGGGATATCAAGAGGCTGGAGGCCATAACAAAAATTCCCATTGCCGACAAGTACGACGAGTTTTTGAAGAGCGTCCAAGAAGCTGCGGGACAGGCGAGGGCCCTCGACAAGGACGAGGACGGCAAAACCGCAGTGGAAAAGGCAATCACTGAGCTCGAAAACAGGCTGAACATGGTGGAAGCCGTGCTCCCGAGCGGGATTACGAGCGTCAGGCAGCGCGTCTATGTCCAAGAGGCCAGAAATCGACTGCGCGCCATCAAGGAGGAGGTTCTCGACTTGCTGGCCGAAGTGGCCAAGACAAAGATCGTCGACAGCATGGCGCTGGGCGAAGCGGTCAAGACCATGGAGCTAAACAGGGGGCTCCTCGAGCAGAAGCTGGACCTGATTCACAAGAACTCGGACCTCAAGCAGGACATCCACGAGCAAGAGAGGAGGATCCTGGAGCTCAGCAAGTTCCAAAGGGAGGCAGCACCCTGGAAGGACCGCATCAAGGAGCTCGAGAAGCTGGACGCCGAGAAGGACGCCGCGCTGCAAAGATACCAGGAGTTCACGCGGAAGCTCCCCATGGGCGCAGTCATCGCCTTTACAGACGAACAACTACAGGGGCTCCTCGGCTTCCTCCCCAAAGTATCCGCCTACTACAACGAGAAAGGGAACCTGGACGAAGCCATCCAGCAGGCCAAGCTGTTCGTGCCGAGCGACAACGGCGACTTCAACGAGATGCTCTGGAATCTGGTCAAGGCGTTTTCCGAGCAGGCTGTTCGACAGGAGTTGTGCGACGGCGATTGGCAGCGCGCGCGGGACCGTCTCGCCTTGGTGGAGGAGCGGGAAAGGCAGTTGCAAGCCGAAAAGGCGTGGCTGGTCAGGGACAGCGCGCAGATCAGCACGGAGAAGGTCGAGTTGGAGGAGGCCACCAAGGCTCGCCAGGCCGAGCTCGAGGCGGCCAGGCAGGAGATGACGCGCCAGCAGGACGAAGCGTCTCGGAAGCTGTTGCAGGCGGCCAAGGAGCTCTCCGAGAAGATGGAGGCGGTCGGAAGATACAAGGAGGAGGTGGATAGGGTGTTGCGCGAGAAGAAGGACAATTACCGCGAACTGGCCGCAGGCCTGAACGCAAAGGTGGAGGAAGCCAACGCCGATGTCGAGGGGATGAAGCGGATCCTTGCCGATCAGACCCAGCACAACGAGGAGACAGCAAAGCTGCTGGACGAGAACAGGGAGAGGCTGGCCCGGGAGAGGGAGCTTGAACAACAGGCGATTCTCCAGCGGGCGAGCAAGCAAAGGGAGCTTGACGACAAGAAGAAGGACCTCTTGACCCGGGAGCGTGAGTTGCAGGGTGAGATTAGCGGTCTGAGGGCCGACCGCCTCGCGACCAGGGCCAGGGTCACACGCTTGAGAATGGACAGAGCAGCCATGACTGCCATGCTGGCCGACGAGCTGGAGCACAAGCGACGGCGCGCCGGGCAGGCGGCAGCCAAGGAGGTCGAAGAGCTACGCCAGCGGCTCGAGGAGGCGTCCCGCCCTTCCCAGGTCTGCTTCTGCGCCCTCCTCAGCTTCTTCCTCCCCGAGGTCTACCGCACCGTCGCATGCGACCAACACCACCCCAAGACCCCCTCCCAACGTCCACCCACGCTCACCGAGAAACTCGCCAGCGCACCTCAGCCTACCCCTACCCCCACCCTCTCCCACGGCCACGGCCACGACGCCCTCGTCGACATCTGGCCCTACCTCTGCCAACTTCTCACCTCGACCGTCTGGATCGTCCTCCTCCTCCTTCTCCACGCCCGCAACCTCCACGACTACTTCTGGTACACCGCCCTCGTCATCGTCGGCCTCCCGCTCTACCTCTTCCGCCTCCTCTCCTACTCCCTGCAAAAATCCTACCGCCACATCCGCAAATCCCTGCCTCAATCCCTCCGACAAGTACTCCCCCTCCCCGCTCCCTGGCGCGAGCCTCCCGTCTTCTGGCTACTCAAGACCCCATCCGCCTCGGCCATCGTAGGGATGGTGTTGATGTCCTTGTTCGCGGTCTCGCTTCTCGCCGCGCAGGCGGTCAGGGTGGAGAGAAGGATATGGCTAGGGAGAAATAATTGGAGGGGGGCATATCTCAAGGATATCGAGGCTACGGTGCCGTATCCGGCGTGGTGGCCGGTGGAAGTGGACTTTAGGTTGGCGGTGGAGCCGTTGCTGGGCCCGCTGGTTGAGCTGGTGTATGTGTGGATGTTTGAGGTGCAGAAAGGCGGTTCATGGGCGGGGACCTTGGGAGGAAGGGCTTTGGAAGGGTTGGAGGTGTGGAAATAGGATCGGATGCAGTGTATGACATGGACATGGCGAATATGAATTTTGAATAGACAGATACCACTCATGGGTACATGTACTTCAAACGCCGCTGGTGAGATTTTGAGGCCTCGAGGTGTTTTGACGTTTCCTTGCAAATGTGCAGCATGAATCCAACTCTCAGGTCAACCTCTTGACCCTTTTTCTCCGCAGCCCACAAAAACAACAACAAATTCCCCTGTGGCGCAACCGGTAGCGCGTCAGACTGTTAACTCTCATCCTGAGAAAACACAACATATCTGGAGGTCCTCAGTTCGATCCTGAGCGGGGGAGTGATAAAGCAACAAATCTGAGCATTTGGCGCAATTCTTTTTTTTTGTTTTTGTTTTTGTGGAGAGGGGGGGTGGGGGGAGGGTGGACTCTCCAGTTTGACTTAGGTGGAGAGAGAGCGGAGGTTTAGAAGTGGGTGAGGTGCATGATGGGAAATGGGGTGATGGTGTAAGGTCTCGGGAGATCTAACGTTGGCTCCAATCGGTACATTTTGTTTTTTGTATATGCCCAAACACAAATATCGAACGAACTGAGCAAGCTTTTGGTTCTCACCTACGCATTTTTCTCATGTTTTAACCACATCGGCCCGTCCTGGCGTGTGAGGATGGCGGTCAGGGGCTCGCATCACAACCTGGAACTTAGCATCTCTGCAACCGAGCAGCGGGAAGAACCCCGCGAGTCTTCGACGACATTCTGTGTGGGGGAGAGCACTCTTGTTGGTAAAATCACACAGGGAGCGCTCTTGACGGATACTTGTGACACTCACTATCTTGGTCGCAGAAGAACCTGGGCACATGGGTTTCTCAGAGAATCTGGCATAGGGTTGTTACGTCCCAGCCTCATGCGACAAGACGGTCTGGGCTTTCCCGGACGCTCGAAACAGGAGAGGCCTCATGGCTCACCAATTTCGAGCACAATTGAAAGAGGTCCCTGTTCATTCTCAATCCAAAAACGATAGAACACATGATGCCAGAAACCTAGTTGTGCACAGCATTTGCAATTCCTTACGGCAAACTGTTCCTTTCGCTTGTTTTCACCCCCTGATTAGTCGTGGCTGGAATGGCGGACCAGAAACCACAGGTTCCAACTCGCGGTACATCAATAGCGTTGCGCAGCCGCTGTGGGTTTTTCCAAATCACATTCACAGCCATTTCGAGCTGCCGTGGTTGATGAATAATCGCGGGGGTTGGGAAGAAACCGCACCTCCGAGGTGGCTTGCCAAACGGGCCGAGACTGGTCCCGCTCCCATGATGTCATGCGGGCTGCTGAGGCAGCAGCGGTTTAACGAGCTCCATCACAGCTAGCTCCGGGGAATGCTAAGGTCTGGAATCTCATCTGACAGGGGCTGTGTGCAGGGCTGCGGCATTCCAAATTCAAATACGCAGTCCGCTGCCAGCAACAAATGCTACCCAATTATCATATTGCACCACGTTCTCTGACCATTTGGACACACTCTTCCGGGGTCTGAAGCGCCTGAGCCAAGTCTTTTAGCTCAAAGAGCTTGCTGCCGCAAGCGGATGCTGCTTCGCTGGACCGAGGCCGTGTGCTCCACCCGACGTTGCGATGCCGAGGACAGAGCTCCAGCTCCTCCTCCGCGGGCTGCGATCGATGCGGCATGAATTTGTAAGTTGAAGAATCACAAAGCCCCCGGATACGTTATGTCACTAGTATATAGATGGCCATGATGTCCCACCTTGGTGTTGAGCATGTGTTTTCGAATCATCACGCACCAACACAACCAAGCAAGCAAGCAAGCTTCAGGCATTAACCTGCAAAGAGTCAACACTCACACCAGACACATCGACCCCAGCAATTCACCCCGCGCTTACTCAGAGCACCACCGGCTTGCGACTCGCCATACCTCCTTAAGAGAGCTCCTAGCTTAACTGCATCACTGCTTCCGCATTCCCACCTCACAAAGAAGCGACTTCTCACCGGCTCTCTCCTCCTTGGATCCTCAGTCGCACTCTACAGTGGTCTCAGCAGCAACAAAAGCAACAAAAGCAACATGTCGTCCACACTCGTCCCCGCGAACCCGTCTGATGTGATGGTAATTCGCGATGTTACGCCCAACGTGGTTACCCTAACGGTGCCATTCCTTCGCTTCGGCAAGATCCCCATTGGCGGGCGCGGCACGATCAGTATGTCTCACTCTCTCTCCTCCATTCACACCTCACAATTCATTAACACGTTCTCAGTCCGCCTCACCTCGGGCGCACTCGCTGTCTTTTCACCAGTCGCCCTTACCCCTGAAGTCAAATCCAAGCTCGAATCCCTCGGCAACAACGTGCAGTACCTCATCGCCCCCGACATCGAACACCACATTTTCATCTCCGACTGGAAGACGGCTTTTCCCTCCGCCAAGATCATCGGCCCCGAGGGTCTCCCTGAGAAGCGGCAAGCCGCCACCGACGAAAAGATCGGCAAGGAAGAGTTCGCCGTCGTCTACAAACCCGACACGAAGCGCACCACAGCAGTGGGCCCTGACTTCGACGCTGACATTGACGTCGAGTACGTCGACGGCCATGCCAACAAGGAGATCGTCTTGTTCTACAAGCCCGACAAGGTGCTCATCCAGGCCGACTTGTTCTTCAACCTCCCCGCCACGGAAGCCTACTCGCGCGTGCCCGAAGCGGAGAAGCCCAAGCCGGGACTTTTGGCTAAGACTTTTATGAGCGCGCAGAAGGTCGACGGCAACGGACAGAAGAGGCTGCTGTGGCATGCGATCAGCCGAGGAAACAGGCCGTCGTTCAACGAGAGTGTGCAGAGGATTGACACGTGGGACTTTAACATTATTGTTCCTTGCCACGGTGACGTTATTGAGACTGGTGCCAAGGGTATTTTCCAGCAGGTGTTTGAGTGGCATTTGAAGGGGAAGAAGTGAAGCTCTGAGCTTCTAGGATGCTGAGGTGTTTGGAGGTGGAGGTTGTTCAGTGCTTGTGAGGGATTGATACCATAGATTGGATTGGCGTTTTGATTTTCCTCTCCCATATCTAATGAGATGATACTATTGGATCATGCATTGAACTCCTTTCGTTACTTTTCAATGCTCCAGGATCAAGTGAGTGAGTCCAGTGTAAGTGCCTCCACAAGACCCTAACCCTTATCGCTATCGGACCTCGAAGTCTTTCAACGTCAATCGCACTTGTCGTGAAAGCTCAAACTTTCAACAACGACATGTTTCTCGCGCCAAACAAGTTACCCGGCCTCAATTGAGCGATATAGCCTCTGTAGACAAATTCGGAACACAAATCCGCAAATGTTAACCCGGCGCCGGCTCCAGGCCCTCCGCCTGCGCCATGCGCAACGCTCCATCCCATCGCGCTACCAGCGGCGCCAAATAAACCACTTCATCTCTAAAGGTGCTTCCCCTTCGCTCCTATCTGCCTCCTGAGTCTAACACCCCTTCCCTTTGCAGAAGCAGACCCGGTCCCCCCAATACCAGCCCAACGTACACCCTTCACGCTCGCTGTAAAAGATAACATCACCACCAAATTCTCTCCGGCGACGACGACATGCGCCTCCCCTTTTCTAGCTGACTACAATTCCCCATTCGAAGCCACCATCGTACAACAACTACGAGACCTCGGCGCTGTCGTCACGGGGAAAACAAACCTAGATGAGTTCGGCATGGGGAGCCACAGCGTTCACTCTGCACACGGGGCCGTTTCGCAGGAGAAGGATGGATACTCTGCGGGGGGAAGTTCCGGCGGGAGTGCGGTGGCGGTCGCCAACGGGGAGGTTGACCTTGCGCTAGGCACGGACACGGGAGGGTCGGTCAGGTTGCCGGCGGCGTATTGCGGGGTGGTGGGGTATAAACCGTCGTATGGGATGTTGAGCCGGTTTGGGGTGGTTCCGTATGCGAACTCGTTGGATACGGTGGGGTTGATTGCGAAGGGGGTAGGGAGGATACGGGAGGTGGTTGTGCGAAGGGGATTATGGGAGGTGGAAGATGGGAGGGATCCGACTAGTCTTGGACGGAAGGCGAGGAGGAGGATTGCGCAGGGGAGGGAGGGGTATGGCGGGGAAGATGTTGAGTTGGAGGGGGTGAGGTTGGGCTTGCCGGTCGAGTACAACATTGAGGAGTTGGAGGGGGGGGTGAGGGACGCCTGGGTGAAGGCGGCGGGGAGGCTGGAGGAGAGAGGGGCGAAGGTGGTGCCGGTTTCGTTGCCGACGACGAGGCATGCGCTTTCGGCGTATTATGTGATTGCGCCGGCGGAGGCGTCGTCGAATCTGGCAAAGTATGACGGGGTGCGGTACGGAAGGAGGTCCGAGGGGGAGAGCGATGCAGCGGAGGGGGGGGTGTTGTATGCGGCCAGCAGAGGGCAGGGGTTTGGAGAGGAAGTGAAGAGGAGGATATTGCTTGGGTCGTATACGCTCAGCTCGGAGGCCATGGACAATTACTTCCTCAAGGCACAAGCAGTGCGGAGGTTGGTACGGAGGGATTTTGACCGAGTGTTTCGGCTGGAAAATCCGCTACAGGATGAACAGGAAACGTTCGACTTGAGCGAGATGTCTGAGGAGATTCCGATGGAGAACAAGCTGGGCCCGGCCGAGGTGGATTTCCTGCTGTGTCCAACAGCACCAACGCTGGCACCGAAGCTGGAGGACGTTATGGGCGGGCAGGGTGTGCTGGATGCGTATATGAATGACGTGTTTGCTGTGCCGGCGAGTTTGGCGGGGCTGCCAGCCGTAAGTGTGCCGATGCTGGTGGAGGGGGAGGAGAGAATGGCTGGACTGCAACTTATTGGCCAGTATTGGGACGACGCCAGGCTGCTTGGGGTCGCAGAGGCTATTTCTGAAGTTTTGGGAGGGAAAAGATGATACCCATGTTGGTGCCAGAGAACCGCTGCCAACGATGCGCCTAGGCTCACCTGCAAAAGGCCACCAACTGTACTGATACGATTCATACGGAACCAGCTCCGTGATTTTGATAAAATATTTCACGGCTAGGTGTGATTGATTGCCAAAAATGAGACAAGTACGGCTGCACAGCTGTGGCGTGTAACCTCATGCGGTTCAGCATCTATGCAGCTTGTTCTTTGCTAGCAGAAAAGTGAGTGACACCCTTCCTACTCGCTCGATCGAAAGTAGCCCACAACTCCTTACATTCTCTACAGGCCTGGCCTTTTGGCGCAGAGGGCATAGAAAGGCCCTCCGGATACCCTTCAAGTTTTACATTTTAACAACGCCCTTTTCCACAACGGCTCCTGTCTGGGTCTCCCACCGCATGGACATGGCACTTGACAGGCCCTCGAAAGAAGCCCTCGAAAGAAGCCCTC